GAAACTGGTTCGTATAAGAAACTTCATTGAAAGTCCACTCAATATTCATCATCATTGATATAAGTATAAAACTTGGGCACTGTGGTAGAGTATAACTCCATTATGGATAAATTTTTTGTTTTGATAAAATGACACTGCTATACAGTAATATTAACTGGTGACGTTTCGTGCACAAATTACTGCTCCTAATCATATCAAGTTACTAACACAACTTCTTTCCTTCATTTATAAACATGTGTGGAATTGACTAGATATTTGAATAAAAATCAGTATGGGATAATGTACATTCAGAAATAATAATATGAGTGTTATTGATCATCATTGAACAAAGCTTGGAATGGCAGTCACCTCTCTATCTCAACTTCATCGACTTTGAGAAGGCCTTCGACAGCGTCGATCGAGAGGTGCTTTGGCAACTACTTCGCTACTAGGGGGTGCCACCGACAATTACACATCTCATCAAACAGCTGTACGACAATGCTGCATGCCAAGTAGTCCACAACGGGAAACTTACGGAACCCTTCGAAGTGAGGACAGGAGTAAGACAAGTTGGCTGCCTACTATCGCCAATGATTTTCCTGATTGCAGTAGATTGGATAATGCGACAAACGGTGGGCAATGAGGAAACAGGCATAAAATGGACTCACACAAAAATATTGGAGGATCTGGACTTCGCCCATGATGATATATGTCTGATTTCCCACAAACTGGAAGATATGCAAGTGAAAAGCAACAAGTTGGCAGAAGAAGCATCAAAGATAGGACTTCAGGTGAACACAGAGAAAACAGAGGTGATGAAGATTCCTGGACAACACCACCACCAACAGCAACAACAACAACAGACAACTATCAGCATAAATGGAAGGAACCTGAAAGAAACAACCTCTTTTACATACCTACCGGCCTGGGAAGCATCGTTTCAACTACAGGCGGAACTGACGAGGATATCAAAGCAAGAATCGGAAAAGCAAGACAAGCTTTCATTACTCTCAAGTCTGTGTGGAGGTCAACAGCACTCAGCATCAAAATGGAGATAAGATCCGGATTTTCAACTCCAATGTGAAGTCAGTCAGTGCTACTCACTATACGGATCAGAGACTTGCACTGCGCGTCATAAAGAGCATCTCAAACAAACTACAGACCTTCATCAACAGTTGTCTTCGCTCAATACTCAAGATCAGATGGCCAGCCAGAAAAGATCAGCAACAGGGATCTCTGGAAATGAGCGAACCAACCTATCAGGAACCGATTGTGAAACAAATAAGCAGGAAGAAATGGAGATGGATTGGCCATACTCTGAGGAAACCATCAAGTGAGTGACATCACTAGACAAGCCATTGCTCGAGTGGAACCCAAAAAGGAAGCGGTGAGTTGGTCGTCAGTGTGAAGGTGGGGTGACTTGGAGGAGGTCATGTGAAGAGGGGATGAAAACGCGTGGACAGACTTGGAGCCAGGTGAAGACTCTAGAAGAGAACCGAACGCAATGGAGACCCATGGCTGAAGCCCTATTTTCCTCTAGGAATTAAAGGAAACAATAATAATAGTATTGATCAATTACAATCAGATGGGAAATAAGACGAGTGTTTTTATAGTCATAATAAGTAACTTGTTAAAATGCTGTGATGTGACGGAATTGAAATAGAATTTTTAGATTATTTATTATCCTCCTCCGATTTGACTGGCGGTAATAATATCTCCCATATTTCTGGTATTTGCATTGAGTTATTATCATTGACATTTGGCTTGTCATATAATAAATGATTTCCACGATGTCATCAATAGCAGCAAGACTTATCCACAAAATGAGTAATCTAAAAGGACAATTATGGATCTGATATACCACATTTTATTTTCCTTAAATATGGAGTGAATTATTGAGACTGGGTTGTGCCATGCGGAATTATCAATAAGTTACCTACGACATCGACTGCTGAGTCCGACAGGCACATATATATCAGCAGAAATACATTGTAGGAGCAGTGAACACTTTCTTTTGAACTTTTAATCCTCAAAAAGGATACAGGTGGTTGCGGTGAGGAAAAATTCTCGTTTTAAGAAAGTTCTCAACTATTCTTTGCACTCGGGATATGCAACAAGGGGGTGATAAAGCTCCATAACATTCTCTTGCAGGATGATGAAGTATAAAGAGCAACAAAATAAAGTTACACGGCATTATTAGGGATCAGAAATATAATTCCAAGAAAAATCAAGGGAAAGTTTAGACAGGAACCATAAAGAGAGAGAGTTAGATTCTTGAGAAAATAGACCGCTTGTTGTGGCCATGGAATAGATAAAGGTTTAACATACTTCTTTCAGATATAGCCTCCACCTGAACTTTCAGATAAATAATACTGCGAATAGGTCTACATGTCTTGATTTCAATCCTTTCGGGGGGTTTAGATGGATTGTAGCCGTAAAATGCTACCCTAAAATTATTAGCATACAGCATCCTTTGCTAACCATTGGGTGCTGACCACACAATAAGGTGGGGCAGAGTTAAAATTCTAAAAATTAATATAGGTGGATTGCTGAATCCTGGTTCATCGATCCTGCACCCAACACATGCAATAGAAGTGTCGCAACGCAAATACCAGAGATATAGAAGACATTATTACCAGTCGAATCAGAGGTTAGTAATAACTTCCATATATATTCAGTTCACATTATAACATTCCAACAAGTTATTTATTTTACTATAAAAGTATCTTATTTCCCATCTTATTGTATTTGATTGATAACAGTGATAATATTTCCGAATATACTTAATATTATATTGATTACATTGAAATATCTAATAATTTTTTACTCATGTATATAAATGAAGCAAAAAAGTTGTGCGTGTGCCTTATTATGATTATGAGCAATAATTTGTGCTCGATACGTCATCAGTAAATATTACTGTATGACAGTGTCATTTTATCAAAATAAAATTTTATCCATGATGGAGTCATGCTCTACCCCAATGCCTGATTTTTGTCCTTATATCAATAATACATTGCTATTTAATTTGAACGATTAAGACGAAAATCCGCTGTCAAGCGTCCATGAAATTCGCCTCGCAGTTTTGCTACGTTCGGTTGTTCGTGCACCATCCCTCGCTAGCTAAGCAGTTAGCATCATACAATGATTATGATCCCAGAATATCTTGTATTTTAGACGATCAATCTGCTGTTTTTATTTTCATTTGGTCTAAGCAGAACAAGAACCTGCGTTTGTTCTCAGCCCAAACGCCAGCATTAATTCTCCTCCTTAAGAGTCTCTTATTAAGCTTCATAGGATTTCTAAAACTAGGTCAAATGTTCCTATCACAAAGGATGTTTTTTATTGGATTTACGCGCCCTTCCATTCTCCTTTTACTAATCAGCCTGGCTAGTTTTCCAGTAAGTTGTAAGATAAAACGCACGTAGCAGCCAATTCGCTCAACTCCACAGGAGAGAAGAATTGATGCATGCATAATGATGTGGCTTAATGTGTTTCTCTTAAGGAAACGTTATTCACACCTTGACAGCGGATTACACCTACATAAGTGGTCTTAAAGGCGTTTCGGAGAATTCTGTCTCAGTTTCAGTTCAGTATTTTACTGTTAGGCAGCAGAATCCTGCGGGAGGGTATTTGGGCCTGTTTGACATCTCCCTTCAGAAATACGCTCTTGTCTAAGAATTAAGGTGGGTGGCCAGTTTCCAACCAGATCTTTCGAAAAGTGTGAAGCTCCTCGTTGATAGGTTCCTCTTTGAATATTTTAGTGATCCTTCCGCTTAAATGGACATATCTTTGAAAACGGATACACCGTCCACTCGGCGCGCTCCATTCATAAGTAGATACTTTCTCAGTCGTTGAACATCTAGAAGACAGAACAATGAGTCCACTTCTACTTCTGGAGTGAAGGGATGATTTGGTGTGAATCACTGGATATTTAGAGCAGTTTTTATTCACCCACAATGAAATTATCGTTTATGTTTCTCTAATACAGATGAAAATCACTAGCCATCAGCAACAAGTTCATATTTTCACTTTTCGCCATAGAAGTTCGATATCACTCTGTTTATCAGATGAACCACTCTGTATGACAATTAGTTTTTGGATGGCGTTTCGTACGCAACTTATTGTTCGTAATTATATCAGGAATAACCACGTAACTTCAAAACGCATAGTTTCTGATGGTTTCCTCTTTATCTACCTACTCTTTGAAGGGGTATCAAAGTTTCCCAGATTTCGGCGGCCGGCGTTCGATCACCTATGATCCATGTATTTTCAGTCGATTTGAAATATAAAGCTTTCGAGATCAATTTGTCCCTCCTCCCCGCCGAAATGGATTTTAATATTACATCCTGTTGCATTGTTGTGTGTAATTATATGGTCCTATAACTGAACGATTCTCCAGATTTTTTTCGTATAATGGTCAATTAATGTGTTTGTGCTCCGCCAGTCTGACTTCCCTCATTCTAATACTCGACCAGTATTTTTGACCTGACAGTTATCCAGTCAGCTAAATTATTTTATTTGATAGACTTCACAGGTTAATTTAACTGACAAAGTTTGTAGCTAAGTGCGTTTGTGAATCTGAACTCCAATTTTACTTCTGCATTGTTTTCCGAGTTCCCTTCCTTATGTGGAAGTAATACTGGTGATTTAAATTCCTTATTGTCGTGATCATTCTGCACATGTTTGTCATGCATGTCACAAATATTGTTAATTTTTTACACTTTCCTATATATTTCTGATTAAATTTGTTATGGTAGTCACTAAGTTCTCAAGCTTCCCCTTAATTCATTACTTCCTGTCTTGAAATCTAATTGCTGCTATTTGGTTTTTTACTGTTACCTAAACATTTCATCAGTACTCCATCAGTCAAATTCGCCATACCAGTCTGACAAAATTGGCACTACTATAAGTAGACCGGCCGAATCATTGAAGTTCATACCTCATAAAGATATAAATAAGATTATTTACAGGGAAACAGGTTGTGTTGCAAAGAAACCTTCATTTAGGCCTCAGCTGACCAAATGTTCTATGAAAAGTGTTGTATTCTTCTGTTTCAGATAAGAATCTTAATATCTCCCACCAGAGACTGTTAATCCTCAAATCCTCATTGAAGGTATTGTACCTCTCCTTGAAATCCACGGCGGTGAATATGACCTGTCAAGGCCGCACTTAGAAATCGATGCATTCTGTATACTGATAAATGTCATTGGTAACTATAGACAGGTCGCTCATAGCATCAGAAAATGTAGGTTTCATGTAATTTGCTAAAATTAATATCAGGACTGTGAGGAAATTACTGACGGAGATAAAATTGAGTCATCCTCTAGGAGCAGGTGAGTAGATTTTTCCTCCTATAATTTGTAGTCAAAGCGAAGACTTCCTGATGTGCAAGGGAACAGCTGTTGGTCTAAATATTCACTCAAGAAGGAGGTCAAGCTGTATCAAAGCCAATGGTATATGGGATTTTAGTGTTAACACTAAATTAATTAATTTTCCACAGATGAAATTCAGGATCACTTGAAAAGAATAATTGCTCTGCTTAGGTTCGGTGATTACATTCAACTGGTAGTTTTATATAAAATTCTAACCCACTTTCAAGATTGTGAAGCTTCAGAGTGCTAACCCTAAACCTCATCAACACAGATATTGTTGTATAATATCTACCTTTGGAAAGCAGGAAACTGAGGAGTCATCTATCTTGGGAGTGGACATTACTGACGGGCGAGCTACTGTTGGATTAGTTCTGTCTATATGGCAAGACATGTCAATAAATCTATGTGGAGATGGGTTAGTATATTCGAGTTTCTATTTGATGTATTGTGCGCATATTGATAAGTATTACTTAAATGGAATACTTCTGTGAATAAGATCATTACCATATTTATTCAGTTTCAGAAGTAAAGTTAATGGTTATAGGTTTGAGAAGGAACAAAACAGTTCTAAACAAGCGATCATTTAAGACATGTGGAAAACTAACTGGACGTCAGTATAACTCGTTAAATGATTTCATAAAAATAAATGTATGCAGTGTCTGATGAGCACTCATTAACGATCTTATAATAAGGTGCGTCACTTAAGCATCAATATATTCATTTTTTATCTGGCTCATATGTTGTACTTATAGGCTTCTGACAAATAACAAATTTCTAGGGAAATCTTCATCCGAAACCAACTGAACTTTTTATCTTAAGTATATGTGTGACATTTATCTCACGTAGAGGCTGTTAATGGTTGTTGAGTATCTTACAAACGTCAACCTGTGGGCAACAACTTTTAGAGAGAAATCACGTATACCAAGATGACTAAGTGTCGCTAACTCGATTATGGATACGATTTTATTTTGATAAATAACAGTGTTATACAGTAATATTAACTGATGACGTATCGAGCACAAATTATTGCTCATAATCATATCAATTCACTTCATTTATATATCTGTATATACTCATGTATATAAATGAAGCAAAAGTTGAATGTGACTTGATATGATTATGAGCAATAATTTGTGCTTGATACGTCATCAGTCAATATTACTGTATAACTGTCATTTTATCAAAATAAAATCTTATCCATAATTGAGTTATACTCCACTACAGTGCCCAAGTTTTATATCAAGTGTTGCTAGGATTATAATTCGTATTGTATTTTATATTTAATGTAATTCATCAAAAGGCTTTTCTCTGAAAAGTGTATCAAGTGTATGAAACATCAGGAATTCAGCATCATTTACTAACCAAAGCAAAATTCTTCACTTGGTGAGCATATTGGTTTGCGTCCATCTAGTTTACTACAACGATACTGTATACTTGTTTAAGTAAATAAATGTTTACAATTATTTACAGCCAGTATTCTTCGGTATAACTCAGGGATTAATCAGATACATTGACCTTGACATCCCGAGTTGATCTAAATTGTCACAATTCTTAGCAAACTGTGGGGCAAAATGTAATGTTAAGGAAAGCTTAGTTAGTGAATATATATCTGTAATTAATTTTAGTATAATCGTTTTAGTCCACTAACCACAGATCTGCGATATCGCGTACATTTATTTTTTGTACTTGTAGTGTTAAAGATACTCTACGTAATCAGGGTCAGTTGGTACAAGTTAAGTGAGAAAGGTCTTCCTGCATCCTCAGGCAACGTTTTCAATTTAGTACAGATTTGAATATCAAAACTAACGTAGCTTCTGTATGTAGTGTCAGTACAAAACAAGCCAGATCTACATTATGGATCCTAACCCAATAACTTCCTAGACCGTGCCGCCAGGTTTTCTGAACTCGGTAGGATATTCACAACTCTGCTGGCACCACTGAAAACGAGTCATCTATTATGAGCGACTCCCATCAAGAAATAATTTTAGTTATATCTCTTGTGTTTCATCATATTTTGAAAGTCCCAGTCGAAATTGGTGTAAACAATTATGAACCGCTCATAAATTAGTGATGTTAATGATTGCTATATAACTGAAATATAATCAAACTCTTGGATATATCGTAGATATTCCTGTCTTTCATAAAAGATGTGGTTTTGAGGTTATCAGATCAATATTGTCAATGATAATAAAGTTAAGCGTGGAATGTTATGTAAGCAGAGATATTCAATCGATTAGGTTGTTAAGTTTCATTTATTCAAATAGCTAGGATGTGTCATACATGCTGAGCTATAGACTTTCTCTATTAAGCAATGTTAACTGAAATAGGAGTAATTTGGAAAATAGTTAAGTGGCTAAACCAATACATGCTACCATTCCATGTGGTCTTTGGCTGCTGGTTTAAGCCGTGTAGGAAGGTGCAGACTGCCTGGCTAAGAATGTCAGGATGCTAGAAACCAATGATTAACGACCGTTAACGACAATCGTTTGGAATGGTACAAGTGTATCCATTCTTTATGATCCTCCAGATTCTATAAATCACTAGTCTCCATCTAATCATCCTTTCTCCTGTACATCTTCGCCTATTTTAGTTTCATTGCATTTCCTTCCTATACAGTTTTGTGTGGTTTTTTGAAGTGTGGCTGATTGAATTTGTATACGTTTGTGCAAAGTCCTGCGTTGACAGTTCAGTTCAGTTAGAGTAGAAATGTATAAGTTCAGGATGGGAAATATTTTGTGACACACTGCTACCGTTTTCCGTCTATCAACCTGTTTCCTATGGATATTGCGTCATAAAACCCTCATGATACCAAATGTATGCTATATAAATGATGAGGCAGATGCATTCACATTTTGTTGTCCCTTAGATCCTCTAAATTCCCATCATTCTTCATATATTTGTCATTTATTTCTGTAAATCTCCACTTACTACAGCTCATTTGTATTATTTTAAACTTTTGTATGATTTTTGATGTATGCCAACTTGAACTGCTGCACCATCAAGTAAAGTTCTATGTTGAAAATTCAGTTTATGTTAGGATATTTGACTACAAGTCTGTAATGATACAAATAACACGTAAGACGTTTTGCTAACACCATTTATGCAGGGAAGTAATGTTGTAAGCGTTACTAGTCATATACTTCACTAAGTGAACATAGGTTTGATTCAAAAAGAATCAAGTTAAAGCTAATACATTTATGTATGCGGAAAGATTTGTGCATACGATCATCAATATCAGTGTTAAATGTCCAGAATCAAGAGGAAAATCCATAAGCGACATATTTATTGTGCTTGCTGGTATTTGTTAGCAAGCTTTACGTGCAACTTTGAGCACACTGGTGACTTTCTCATATTATCGTGTGAATGTATTGTGAATTACACTGTTCTGTTTCAGTGATTAAAATATGAGGGGAAACTCGTTTTCCAATGACAGTATTACATCAGACACAGAGGTTATGGTTTTTTTGATGTCTTCAAACAAATTATTAGGAATGTTGAATTTTGAGTGATGAGATATAAACATGACTAAGTATAGTAGGTGGCAATGACAGTCGATTGATAACGTACATACTGCTGAAAATGTGGTTCATTGGTTTTTATGATGTACTTTCACCCACTGGCTTAGGTTTTCGAATCTCATTTCTTATCTCAAGGCTTTTGTAGCTAGATAATATCATCTACATACACACAAAAGACTTACCGCATTGCCAAGTACGCTTAAATGCCAATAATTGTTGAGTAACATTTCGTTTTCGGTAACTAAACTTTTCTGATATCTATCTTTCGGAGATCTGTGTTTAAATAATTCATTGTGGTAGTAGTACTGTGGTGAGAGATGGTTGCTAGCCAAATTGGTTAACAGCAATTGAGGTCAAAGGTAAAGATGGACAGGCGGATACAGTTAACATATAGGTGAACTGACACAGGCACAAGAGATGCAAGGTTAACCTTCTGTGAGAAACAACCAATCAACAGACTGTATTTTCTACTAACAATAACCTACAATAATGTACATCAAAATCTATAAATACGTGTTGATTTTCCGTAATAAACGATCTGTTGCCTGGCCCTTGTCTTCTGTTGTTACAGTACGTCTATTATTAAGCAAAGTACTGTTCAGAATAAGAAGTAATCTTGTAAATGTAGTATGTAAACAAAAGTAATTGAATTCAAAATAACCGCTTTATTTAACTAATTAACACGCTATTAAAATCACAATACATTTACTTGAAACGTGTTCTTATATTACTGGCTTGAGGATCTTAAAATATTCTTACCTGCCATAAGTTCGAATTACATGTACTCTTAATTAAACAGGAAAAAGTATGAATGCTGATAAGTGTCGCCACTAATATCATTCAGTGAGATTATGGATTCTTGATTTGAGTTTCCATTTACTAACTGTAAGGTCACAAGGTTAAGCTCTGCGTTACATATTACAATCTGATAAACTATTAGTTACACTCTAAGTATGGTTTTACGCCCAGTTTATGAATAAGTATTTCCTAATTGCTGTTTCGTGTTGTTATTACTGCAGTAATTAACTTCGTTTTATTCTTTAACTTAAATTAGTTTATGTTACATATATTTTAAGCGTTTCATTTTTTTGGTACTCTTATCGATTTTCCAATTAACAGGGGATTCGAATTAATCACCAAAGATACTGTCAAGCAATTCAAACCCGTTTCTGTACAAGCTTTGTGGGCTGCGTTTCAAGCTGTGAATAAAGCCTGTCAAGTGGCTCGTGCTAATGCTTATTTCTGTCGTGGCTTCACTCATGACTGGGTCAATTATTATCATAGTTTACCAGCATCATCTACTCAACAGATACAAGAATGGCTTAAAACAGATGATATTGATGGATTTATTCAATCGTTATCGCATTCTTCCCTTTCTGATGGTGCAACTGATGAAGAGTAAGATGTTAAGATTTGTTTATGTAATTTTATTCTTGTTTTAATTTTTTTTACATGCATTCTGTTTTTATGACTACAAATCATTCATTGCAGTTCCTATATATATCTCAAGACCTAATTTCTTTAAATACTCATACGACTGTCCTTATTGTGTTTTGTTCTAAAATTCATCCAGAATATTGTTGGTTGTCTCCTTGGTGACCGAGTCAACTTAGGATTTCTAATCCTAAATTCCTCTCACCTTCTGCGTTGTCATCTTGACTTGTTGTGATTACCATTCGACTCCTTCCTACATACTTCTACTGTAATCAGCACCGATCTCAGCTAGGGAACGTAAGGATACAGTCGCTACATTTCTTGTCTATCTTATCTGACACAGGTTCACGAGCAATCAACATAAACCCTCTTTGGTACTTCAATACTGGTGGCTAATCTATAGGAAAGAACCCCAGTGATATTTATTATTTCTTTTTAATTTACCTGCAGATTTATTAATAAATGTAGCTTTAAGCTACAAACTATCTCGCATTTAAGTTTAGTTCATAGCTTGATTTAGGAAATGTATCAAGTCTGCGAATCGTATTGTCTGATTAATTGAATAACAGAATAAGTACACAAAGAGTCTATCTAAGCTATTCATTAGTAAAGCAGTAGATTGACTTTTAACGAAATCCAAGCATTTCACATGTTCCTTCTATTAAGTTTAAATCAGTCGTATCCTTCATGTTGATTTGACATCTCTTCGTTTCTTCCAAGTTTCACTTTCTGCGATGAAATGCTCAATAATTTGAGATAGATCATTGGGTTTCTAGCAAGCTTTGCACTAATTACCTACTGACTGAACATTTTTAATGAAATTACGTACATTTCTATCATTTCGATTTTCACTTTCTGCACATAACTAGATGTCTTATTCGCTTTAGTGATGAGGACAATGGCTGGGTTTGAAAAAACAACCAAGAACCAAATTTAGGAACTAGTAGTTTCTTCCAGTAAGTATACATCACTGGCTACAGCCCATTGTGTCACTTTCGGCTTTACGAACCCAGTAGCGGTCGATCATGTTTATCAGTTATTCGAAAATGATTATTTTATGAAAGTTTTCGAGATGATGCCTGTGCTGATCAAATCCATCAACAAGGTGTTTTGGGATCTATTCTCCTTATGCAATATTCTTTTCAGTGAACATTTAGTGTTTTCCTACCTGATGTTGGCTTGTGACGAAATCTGCCTAGAAATCAATCAGACCCCATAACTTATCACTTGAAAATAACCAATAAGGATAATTTTCATAGGTGATTCCTCCCGGTAGCTAATTCATCAACGGGCTCTAATCGTAACGCGAAGTCCCTGGGTTCGATATCCGACTGGGTTATGAGCGAGTACTGCTGAATAGTCTGGAACTAGGACGAAAATGCTGTCCAACACTCCCTAGGTTTCCAATAGTTCTCTGACTGATTTCAGCTTGGGATCAAATCCTTACAGCCTAAGACTTGAAAACACCTCAGAACATTGATTTCCGTAGATTATTCCTTGAGCCCCTTTGAATTCATTTTCTGTTATATGATTTGAAGATGTTCTTCAAGTTTGTAGTTACACTGTTTAGTTATAGTATCTCACTAAATTACAGTATTCTCCTAGATCATCACAGCCAGAAAAAATCACCAAACACAAACATGATATATGGAATAATTAAATGCTTACACATTATATTAGCTGCGATCACCATTAAGTTAGATCATGCCAGTATTCTGGGAATCATAGCATCAAATTTACCATCAGTTTATGAATCAATCTTCTTATGCACTAATGCCGCCTACTGGTGTTTTTTTTCTTTCCTTCACGTTCCCAGTGGAACATAGGGCCTCAAGCTAGTGGCTTGAAGTTTCTGTAGCAGTGGTTAATTTTACAGGATTAGGTTGCTAGCCTCATGCCCAACCTTTCCTCTTTACCAGATTTAGTTCTGGCTTAGCGAGGTAAAGGAGTGCGTCAGCCGAGGATCGAACCCCGGACCATGTGCATGGTCGGCGAGCGTCCTAACCGCTGTGCCACCGACGCACGCCTACTGGTGTGACTACCATAAAAGGTTTCTTCCTAATACCAGTCCTAACCAACTCTTTAATTTAAGGAACTTGATTGCTGCTCATCAGTTAAAAAGACGTAAATCTCAGCTACGTTATTTACTTGACTTTAAGAAATTAGTCGTCTTCTTACATTGTGATTAATTTCTACACTATTTGCTACGTATTCTCATTTTGTATATAAGCAGTGTTAAGGTTAAAACTGGCGAGTGTTTCCTTCATTTGCTTACTTCAGAAAAGTCATGTTCATAACTAAACATTCCGAAGTATTTCACCATCCTTTCATTCATCTGTAAAGATGTTCGCCTATCTAATTAATTTTAAAGGTGACATTATTATGTATTTTCAGAGATAACTTTACGGAAACACACAATATATTCACGATACTATTGTTTGTAGTTTTTTTACGAAAGATTTCGTTATATGTCATCTGCATCATGTGAATACGGCTGAATTTTATCATTTGAGTATATACTCATGACTAATTAAAGTCAACATTAAATTTTAAAAAAAAATTATAATTACTGTTGTTATCATCACCGTAGTATTTCATTTTGACTTATCTTTTTCGATTTTCTTTCTTTTCTCATCTAGAAAAGAATGTGCTAGAATGGAAGCACTGATTCGTGTTAAACTACAGGAGATTATGTATTCTGTTGACCTAGAAGAAGTAACTGTCCTTCAAGTAAGCTAATATGTTTGTTTTTCTTCTTCATAACTGTAAGAAAAGCCATTGATTATCTTTACACTAATTTCCATACGGGTTGGTGATGTGGTGATTGGACACTGTCTAGTCCGTTGTATATATCGGATTCTATCTACTGGGTTACTAAATCCTATTGAAATATGCCATTGGTTGCTAGTAGTTCTAGCACCAGCCTCAGTGGTCGCTCCCAGTCACGAGGCAAGCTCGTAGACCATTCAGACACGGGGACTCGAGGCAATGACGCAGGAATTCTAACTTCTGCCAATTCGTAATTTTAACTTGACCATCAGTTTTATGTTATCTAAAGATATGAAGTCATCAATATCGCTCAGAAATGATTATCGTTAAAATTGAAAGCCCACGAAAACAGGAACATTGTTCATTGGAGTAAGCGATTGAGAATATTTACAAAGTGTATTTAAAATAAGAAGTTCGAAAAGGAAGAAGAGAAAATATGAACGAATGAATTATTATTATTATTTCCTTTAGTTCCTAGAGGAACATAGGGCTTCAGCCATGCGTCTCCATTGCGTTCGGTTCTCTGCTAGAGTTTTCACCTGGCTCCAGGTCTGCCCACATGCTTTCATCTCCTCTTCACATGATCTCCTCCAGGTCACCCTTGGACGACCAACTCGCCGCTTCCCTTTCGGGTTCCACTCGAGCAATGGCTTGTCTAGTGATGTCACTTGATGGTTTCCTCAGAGTGTGGCCAATCCATCTCCATTTCTTCCTGTCTAGTTGTTTCACAACCGGTTCCTGGTTGGTTCGCTCCCAGAGATCTTTGTTGCTGATCCTTTCCGGCCATCTGATCTTGAGTATTGAGCGAAGACATCTGTTAATGAAGGTCTGTAGCTTGTTTGAGGTGCTCTTTGTGACACGCCGTCTCTGATCCGTATAGTAGTACTGACTTCACATTGGAGTTGAAAATCCCGATCTTATTTTTGACCCTGAATACTGTTGACCTCCACACAGACTTGAGAGTAATGAAAGCTTGCCTTGCTTTCCCGATCCTTGCTTTGATATCCTCGTCAGTTCCGCCTGTAGTTGAAACAATGCTTCCCAAGTAGGTAAAGGAGGTAGTTTCTTTCAGGTTCCTTCCATTTATGCTGATTGCTGTCTGTTGTTGTTGAATATGCTGTTGAATGAATATGGATTACTAACCAAATTACTGTATAAGTTAAACAAAAAGGTTCTAGGGCTATGGTAGTGAAAGGGATTGGACAAATCGCCTACTCATGCACAATTCAGAGTTTTCCCTGTGTATGCCAAGAGCCCTCTTTTTCAAACACCTAACCTTAAAATATGTTTTATACATATTTTGAAACTCTTAATCTTACGAACAAGATTCTGTTTCCTAGCACTTAGTTTTTAATGACTACTCATTTCTGAGTGATATTCATCATTTAGTGTTTTTAGATTACTCAAGACTAATTAATTAAGTTTCGTAATTTATTCATTATTTATCCTCATATTTAATTTCATATTTTTTTCTTACAAAACGATATTAATAATTGAACTTTATAGGCGTTTCCATGACCCTTTATATAACTGTACAGCTTTGAAGTTGGAAAAACAAGCATTCTTTGCTTACATGCTTTTTAAAAATTTATATCTCACAAGCTTGAATTTCGAAGAATCATTTCTACATCTCTCCTTATCTACGATATTTTCACATGATTACGGATTTTGTCAAGTAGCATCATCCTTTGAGTATTCTCTGAGTTACCGAGACTGATGTTCATACGAAGCATCTATTCCACTGTATATTCAAGTTAGTCATTTTAACGATTTGATTAACTTATCAGTAACAAGTCATAGTAAATTCAAAAATCACTAGTCACCAAGAGGTACTGAGATCTGTTGATAGTTTGGAATGCTGATCATCTAAAACCACCTCATCCATTCTTCTTCAGATGAACCCGAAGCTTCTTACACACCAGTTGTCTCTGGTATCTTTTACATAAAGGTTAACAGTATCTCGTCAGGTGAAGAAGTGTTTAATTGAAAATTCATTGTGTAGACTACTGATGAGCCATAAGTAGCACTGTGACATCATTAATTTCTTGTGAAGTGAATGCTATCCTGGTATCATTTAGATGAAGTCAGATAGATGATTGACAATTTTGAAATGCAGTTGAGATATATAATATAGAGTTTAATATTTACAATGTCATCAGTATCTGTTTGTCCTTACTTTGAGCTTTATTGACCTTATAAGTTGCATTCTACCACTAGTATTTGTTATGATTTTAGTAGACCCTGATTCAAGGTCATTACTACGTAGATTAATTGTACCGAGGTTTGGAGGTTCATTCACTTAAAAATGAGTATATATATATATATATCCTAATTGTTTTTCAAAACTTGAGATATGATTAGCCGTAACTGGCAACAACTTAAACATGTAGAGATACGTTTAAATTATGCACATTTACGGGCTGATTACAAAGATTTAACTGAGCCTAATTATTCAATTATTATTCATCGAAATACAAGTTCAAATCCTGTCTCATTTACTTTGTCACTGTTAAAAAGGTCCAGAAGCCCTTATACCATATATGAACGTGAAAGCGTGCTATTATATTTAGTTTACTGGAGTTTACTATTTTTATAACTGGTTGGTTCAGCGCCTGACTTCCAGTCAGTGGGACACAAGTTAGAAACCCGCCCCACCTACAGACTTTCAGTCATCCAGCTAGTATTATTTGTCCTCATATAATAGATGTGAATCATTGACAAGTGGTTGTGAATGCTTGTTGGATTACTTATGTCTTAGCCTTACTGAAATCATTCATTCTTGAAAAAATGTCATAATAATAATATCTTTATTCTGGACAGTATTTATAAAATGTACAGAATTTTCAGAGGAGTTTACTGCATGATATTTTCCCTTCGTACAATATCTTCAAGTAAAATATTAATTGACAGTATATCCTGTGGCACAATGGTCTGTGAGCTGAAGCACAAACCATTCCATTAAGATATATCTGCTTTGTCTCCTTCGAGAAATCCACGACATCTGGTTGAAAGCCATTTGTAAGATGTTCAGAAGTACATTTCGAGACCCAAGGACATAACTGAAGAACAGTTATCTCATGTATTGGGATACGTTACCACTCACAATCAGGCCTTTCCTCAAGTTTAGTAGGAACTTGCGAATCAGGAGCTTGTAAACATTTTAAATACACACAAGAGTAGATAATACCAATAGAGGTCATATCTCAATCGATTAAATCAAACCGGGCGAGAGAAAATACATGCAATAGACAGATGGAAGCTTTTGGTAGCCCAAGTTTTAAGCAGGCCGCCAACATGCGTCTGTTTTGATGTCTGGTAGCATAAAATCAACAGTGTATTGGTAAAACTGATTAATAAATAATAAAACATTGATTCGGCTTCAATCATAGTGAATGTAATATCCAAATGACATTTCTTGCTTCTATCCATGTTATGCTCCGAAAATCTCTGCATGTACTACTTTATAGCTAATAGTATTTTGTTGCATATTTTGGTTACATAAATAGAAAACGTTGACCTATAGTAACTGGAGACAAAAAGTCTTCAGCTCAAGAATAATCTTGTTAATGATACTGCTTTTTAAAGTTTTTCTATGTCTCTTAAAACTTTAGTGACAAAGTGTTTGAATTACTATTGTAAGATGCGATATAGAAATTTTCTAGTCAACCTTCATTAACTCTTCGTTACAGGTGGTATCAAAAGCCGTTAATTCACTGAACTGTCACACATTGGATTAAGTGAATGCATTTCTTTCATGGGTTCGAATTATGCTCCATTTGCCGTGTTATCTGCACATTAATATTATCGTAATTGTTAAGCAATAGACGTGTTGTTATTGCCCAGTACACGAAGCTATATGTGACTGGGTTGCAGCACTATTCACCTTGTATATACACATAAGTACTGTTGAGAATTCAACTTCCTTGTCATCCTCTGAAATTAATGCAGTTTTTAAATCTATGACAAAGATTGTCTCTTATTCCCATTGCAATAAGAGTTCAAAGTTTGGTAGGGGGTCCTTTTGCAAGTGTTTAGGTCTTTGGTGCTCTGGTACTTTGAAGACTTTATCAAAAATACTGCGAATTCAAACCTTTTCACTTTAAATAACAAATTGGGCTAAAAATGACTAGGGAAATACATGAAATCTAACTCAGTTTGTTATTATTATTATTATTAGATAGAAGTGAAGAATAGGATAAATGTTATGTTGTAATGGTCGCCAGCTGTAGAATCCGAAATGCGGCATTCATCTTGTTAAGAAGTTGTCAGCTGAGTGTGGATGGCTCTAGGTTAGTGATCACGTCTGCAGTAGAACTGTTCAGACATACTCCATAGCACTGGCCACTATGCTACTGACTAACAGAAGCCACGTACTATGCAACAGTTAACATTTTTAATTGGTGGATGGTGACTAGCAGTGGAATCCAGGATGCGCATTTCGTCCTATTTGGGACTCGTCATCTGGATGTACCTGCATTCCCCAGTGAGTGGTGATGTTCCCACCGAGGCTCGAACCCAGTGCCCATAGTTTCAAACGCCAAAGCGTTATCCACTAAACCACTTGGGCCACGAGAGCCACCTTTAAAATTCAATTAAATAGTTAACATTTTTCCCCACATATTTAGTTTTTTGGCCTATAAGCTTATTTGAATGGTTGCCTCGCTAATGAATGCTCTTTGTTTCTATATCTCCACATTTTTACGGCCGCCCATATTTTCTTTCCACCTTTTTGTTGAAATCACCTGGATCGGCCTATATAAAGTGATACAATTCAGAGTGTAAAAATGGAATATGAGCATTGTGGTAGGGTATAATTCCATACTAGAATAATTTTATTTGATCTAATACAGTGATCCAGTATTATGTATGTACTGACAACATTTTGAGCACTATTATTGCTCATAATTATATCCAGGTGATATGTCATGATTATTATAAGCAATCAATTGCGCTCGAAACGTCATCAGTAAGTGAATAACACTGTATCATTATGTGTTGTATCAAATAAAATTATTCTATTATACAACAACTTAGAATGTTCTATTTACCTGAAGAAGTTTTGTACAAAGCTCTTTACATGATTATCCTTGAGATCTAGAGCTATAGTGTTTTTCAGTTGATATTATTCGGTTGCTGAGGCTGTCAGTGGTCCTGTTGAAGCATCATCGTACTCTCTACAACTGTGACTGCTTTAATGTCTGGAAAAAAACTAGTGTGGCAACGTAACTGCTTTGTATGCCAAGGCCATTCATAACTATTATCAATATAAGTCATCCTACTAATAACTTCGCCAAAATTGATACGGGTTCAATATGATCCTCACTCATAATACTGCGACCAGGATTCGATACGTGAAGGTAATAAGTAACACGTCTCAAGACCGAATACCGAATAGCAATACTTATTTCTAATCACCGTTGACCCCCAGAGCCTATTCAATAAAGATAGAAGACAGACTGGTCCGAAGCGGTGAGAACAATCGGTCTTTAGTATATATTAAAATGCATTATATACAAATCTCTCTGTCCTCAGAAGGTTAAGTCTGTAATTGGTTGTACAAGTTCGGGCTTCAGTGTTGCCCAATGGTTTAAATTTCTCCAAACTGGTCTAATCTATATACGTCCAAACCAAGCTCACTTTTAACAGTTTGAAAAAATTTGGGCATTCGGTATATGCTATTCATTATTAAAAAAGTTTTGTATTTCCCAATGAATAAAAAACAAGACGATACTGTTTTTATTGACGTTTCGCTATTCAATGCTAATAGCTTTATCAAAGTATTATTAAACCAGAATTTACAAAATCTCAGCTTATATGTAAAAACTTAATCATCGTTCATCAGCATGCGGTAATTTTTACTTTGTCAAGTTGACTAATTGGTAAAGATAACAAAGCCAAGTGTAGATTGTTGGATTTGATAAACGTATAAAATTATTAAAACAGCATGTGTTTACATAATGAAATTGCTTATCACATTCGTATTAATTTTGGCATTTCATGGAGGATGGGGGTGTTGTAACCAGGTCAAATTCTGTTTTCGTCCATCATTCTTATTCAGACAATTCGGATTCGATTTGATATGAAGTGATTCTGATATTAATGAAAACAAAACACGTAGTTCAGTAAAGTCTTTTTCCGGTGAATTCATTTTCTTAGCTGTACAGTCGCAAATATATATGGGTTATTTTGTATGTATGTGTACATTAAGTTTGTCAAACAAAATACAATTGCTTATGGTTATTTTAACTAAACAGGTGAGAATTAGTAAGTTTTGGGTGGAGTTACGTAATACGAAAACGGTCAAGAAAATTGGGTGTTAGTGAAACTAGAGTGGTGATGAGTTGTCACAAACAGTTGTTAAAAGGGAGTTAAGTAATAATATGAATAGTTTGATGATTGAGTTGTACTCAGGATGCACATAGAAACAAAGTAGAGAATACGAAATTACGTAAGAGTTCTAAATGAATATAAGAATTATAAGCAATTAAAGAAACAAGCAAACAAACAAAATTAAGTCATCAAAAATCAACAAAGTTGTTACCATGATAGTAGAGGTGGTTGAGTAATTCTCTTTTGTATACACAGTTCCGGTTTTTCTATGTGAATGGCCACAGCTTCAGCAATACAAAGAAGACGAAACCGTATTGCCTTTGGTAGGTTATTCTTGATTCTGACTAGGAAGAGACTCTTTTCGGCGACATACAGTTAATCAGACAGCACTAAAGTGAGACTGAGTTAAAAACTAGATGACGTAATATAATTGGCTAAAATATTACAACTTAGGTCAGGATAGCAACAGAGGTAATTACGGGTAGAGATTAAGTAGAAGTGAAATTGAGTGAATAAGTTGGATGACGTAACATATGACTAGAAAGTAGAATACTTTGAAGGAAGCGTTTGTTGAGATGGAATTATCAGTGTTAACCAGGTGTTCAATTATCGCACTTCTAATAGCGCCACTATTGCCTTTTCGCAACCATGCTGGATAGTGTTCTTGAATCCTCTTGGACAGGATGCGCGTCGAACGACCGATAGCTGGCTCCACAGCAGCAGGTGAACTGATATATGCACATAGAAGTGGTCAGATGCGGGATCTTGTCCTTAAGGCTTCTGAAGATCAGTGGGCGACTGGAGAACACTATTCTTAGTGTTGCTGCAAATAATGTTCTTCTCAGAGATGATGTGATCCTTCTCTTGAGAATATCGCTTGTTGAATCTCCCTTGAAATCCAAGTTCATGCAGAGTTTCTTTTTCGGCACAAGTGAAGTTTCATTTCTCCAAATTCTTGGTTTGATATTTTTATCAATGAATTTTGGTGGGTATCCACTTTGGATGAAGATTTCTCTCAAAAGATCTAATTCTGTTTCTAGAACATCGGGACTACGGATGCGGATGGCAAGGGATTTAATTAAATTCCGCTTTTGTTGAATGGGTACCCAGCTATAAGAAGCTTGTTAGTTGACCATTCCAAGTAGCTTTTCTATGGATCGATCTTCTTAAGGTCCCATCAGTTCATCTTGTTAGTTCCACACCGAGGAAGGGAATTTGCCGAAAAGAGACTCTTCCCTTAACTATGTGTTTTGTTTTCATTCATGTCTGGACGGGGATTCTTCATGAATTAAAACGTAGCAAGAAGAACTGATGGGACCTTAAGAAGATATTGGCGGAAGTTGGAATTCATGAGCCATTGGGTCGGGTCCTAGTGGTTTTTGCCTCATACCTCTGTTTACTGTCTCTATTTTGCATTTCTTTTTACTTTCTTCCCTTGCTTTGTGTGCTACATGGAGTGTGACGTCTCGAACTGCTGTACATCGGTGCAAAGTTCTATGTTGTAACCAGTCAGTCAGTCAGCCCAGTGGCTTAATGGTTTACGAGCTCGCCTTGTAAGCAGAAGGTCCTGGGTTTGAACCCTGTTGGTTGGTGTGTACTGATGAAGAGCCCCAAACTGGGACGAAACAGCTGTCCAGTATTCCCAGGTTTCCCAATGGTTCTCTAACCTATGTCAGCTCATGATGAAATCCTGTAACCAAATTATATCACGTATGCCTTTTTCTTTATTACAACTACACTGATTTTCATCTTTGTAATGTTTTACACTAGCTGCGTGAACGCTTAGAAGAAGAATTGAAACAACCATTACGTGCATATCGTCATTTTATTGAAAAACAAATTTTAACTATCTATGGACAAATGGATGAAGCCAGTGTAATATTTGATCATGTTCTATTAGGTACAACATTTAATGCATCAAATCGTGATGAACTAGAACGGAGAAATGTTACACACATCTTGAATGTTACTCGTGAAATTGACAATTTTTTTCCTGGAGATAAATTTGAATATAAAAATATTCGTGTATATGATGATGAACAGTCATCATTGTTACCGTATTGGGAAGAGACACATCGATTTATTAATGAAGCAAAGTAAGTTTTTTTTAGAAATTATTTATTCACATTTTTAGTTTTTCGGTGATATTTCTGGATCGAAGTCATCAGCTTCATTTTCGTGTATGCTTTTTTTTGATAGTATGACTTAATGTTACCAATAATTAATAACTGGAAGTTTCTTCTGTGATGTGAAATTCCCGACGTGCGTTTTGTCCTATTTAGAACTTGTCAGTCGGACTTACATGCTTCTCGGCAGTAAGCGATGATACTTACTTTACTTTACTTCGGCTATCTCCTACGGGAGGATGAGCCGGCTTCATGAACATCTCGAATCATCGCTGCCCAGGCGCGGCGATCTGATGCAAGGTTTTGCGACAGGGTTATCCAATTCTTGTTCCACAGACGGAGTCCGTAGATGGTTTGTAGCCCCAGGCGCTTCATATCAGCCTTGACTGTACCAAGCCATGTTTTCAGCTGTCCACCCCTGCGACATCGCCAAGATGGTAATGGCGAGGGATTTAGAACTGATTTGACCAGATCGTCATCTGGTCGGCGCAGAACATGGCCAAACCACCGAAGGCGACGTTGTAAGAGAGTTCATGAAGTTTCATAGGAATTTGGTACGAGTGACGTCCCCAGAATCGCTCGGCCTTTTGTTTGAGAGTGCAGCTCTAGCCTTTACACAACCAAGTGTGACCTACAAGGCAGTAGGAGTGGAGTAGGGAGTCCACTATCAATTGGCAGCCGGTGACCGGAGTTCGGTTCATACGCCTTTCTGAATGGGGCCAGACATCCAGGACATCCAACAAGCCCTTTGTCCATACGTCTGCTGGTGAGTTCCAGTGAGCTTCATACGCCAGTCGTTGGAGGTTTGGAATCAGGGTTTAGCCATCTCCCGTAGACTGTCATCCAATGGACAGTCAACCCGGTGAAGAGCGCCGGGCATCCGCTTTCGCCCTCTCACTTTGGTGAAAAACACCTCCGCCACGTGAAGGCAGTGAGTAGGACTTCCTCAGGAGAGGCTATGTAAGACGCCCGGTCATATGGGAGCATTTCAAGAGGTGTGCGGTGTGCGGTGATGTTCCCACTGAAACTTTAATCCAGCATCCATTACTTCAAACTCCAAAGGTGGCTGTCGTGACTCGGTAGCCTAGTGCTGTTGTTTAAGTGTCAGGCACTTATTTACTGTAACAGCTAAACCTTTCTCAGTATCATCTTTATAGTGAAACTAATTAATGCGGTAATATTTTATGTAACCAAGCCATAAGTCACTCTTATTTATTTGTTATTTAAAACACAAGCCTGGCACAATATGACACCAGGAAGATGGGCCACACAATAATAATAAAACAACACATGAGGAAAAAATAAGGTAAAGAATGAATAAAGGATTTCATCTGGAAGAAAGCAGTTATATTTGACAAGGCCAGATAGCATTCGTCGAATTATTGTCAGGAAGGGAAGAAAGAAGGAAATCGCAGCACGTTCGCCATTGATTGAGATTCTTGACCATATCCGATAACGTTTCGAGCTATCTCTCGGACTCCAACCAGGGAATCGTGACGCACCAACCAATGCTAACCTATCACAAATATCCTTCATCCCAACGACGCCACATCATGAGCTGACCACCTCTCCGCTTTTTCCATCCTGTTCCAGGACAAGTGAACACAGGCTGTTACGGAAGCATCAGGAATGATATTCGTAGTACATGTCCAAGCCACCGAAGCCGGTGTTTCCAGATGACGACACCCAATGAGTGGTGATCTCCGTTGTGTGGCTCACGTGATGATACCATCGAACGCAAGCAATTCTACGGAGACAGCGATGATCGAATACTCAGAGTCACCGCAAGTACTCAGCTCGAAGAGTCCAGGTTTCGCAGGCGTAGTGCAAGACAGCACGCACCGAAGCCTTGTAAACCCGACCTTTATCACCCAGTCACTCTAAGTCTGGGAGTGCTAATATTCCTACATATTTGTCGAGGCTTAAATAGATGAAAAAGAAGTTTAAATAGGGAATTAACTGACTGAAAGTGTAATCCTAATGCCAATGAACTAAACTTCCTGTCTTTTAAACTTCAGTGTGATCATAATCGTGTTTTGTTTATTTTCATCTTTGAAGGATAGTTTTAGTCCAAGTTAATGGAGAGCGTTTTCCTCAGTCAATATCTTTTATTCTTGAACTTTATTCTGTCTGCTGTTTTATTTCACTAGATTAATTTTATGCCGTTGAATGTTTAAATTGTGGGGAAAAAATAACCACTTATTTTGGTTTTAAAATTTTTCTTTCAGGGTTTTAGGTACACGATGTCTTGTTCATTGTAAAATGGGAATTAGTCGTTCAGCATCAACGGTGAGTGTGTACTGCTTAATTCTCAATTGCAAGTTTTTAAAAGTTGCTATTTACTTCTCTAACCTGAATTTTAAACCATTCAGTCTTTACACTACAGATTTAATGTATTCATGAGAGGTAAAGTCGAGTTTCGATTTATGACCCACTTATCATTTTACGCTTTCTGAACTGGTTAGTTCAACTGTAAGGCTTTCATCGTCATTCTGAATATCATCATTTTAATGCAAATTATTAGAAAAAGTCAGCTTTTAAAATTGTTGAAAACCAGGGAATACTGGAGAGGTGTTTCATCGTAGTTTGGGAATCGTTGAATGAAACAGCTGTCCACTACTCCCTGGTTTTCAATGGTTCTTTAACTAATATCAATCCGCGGTCATACTTGTATAAACAAATCTAATCCTTACAAACCAACTCTTGAAAATTAAAGTTTTTCTACTAATTGTGTGAGGTGTAGTAGCACATGTCGATGACTTACCATATGATTAGTTTTCGTCATACATCGGCATTTTCCCTGACTTCCTAATTGTATTTTGGGTTCTTTGTTGGTTGGTATATTGAGTCTATGTCAGTGTCTACTGATTGCAGAGTTATTAGGCCGTTAAAAACGCGCTAACATTGTTTGTGTTTCTCATTCTAGACCTTTTCGAATCCTAGTCCACAACATAGAGTAATTAGTAGCTAGTCTACATACTTACCTTTACTCTCTTTATTTTATTCTCTTGATGTAATTATATGTGGTGTAGCGATCTGCACCACTACACAGTAATACCAGGTTCTGTGGTGGCAGTATCAATCATTGAAAGATGATGATTTTAGATAAAGTGTGCTTATGTTGCCACAGCTTTGGAGCAAGTGTTGCCTATTCAACCCATTCTGGTTAGATATCACTCTTAAATAACTACCAAAGACTTGAACAAAGTGAGAACAACAAATTTAACAGGATAGTATGATATCATCATCTGATCTTGAGTAGTATTGAGCGAAGACAACTGTTAATGAAGGTCTGTAGTTTGTTTGAGATGCTCTTTATGACGCGCAGTGCAAGTCTCTGATCCGTATAGTAGCACTGACTGACTTCACATTGGAGTTGAAAATCCGGATCTTATTTTTGATGCTGAGTGCTGTTGATCTACCTACACACAGACTTGAGAGTAATGAAAGCTAATAGTAGGCATGCTAAACCTGCCGAAAATATAAAAATAATATTATACGGTTTATTCCCTCTCCTCTTCATCATGTAAACAAATTCTACGCGTATGCATTGGAGAAGTATTTGTCATTCCTTGTATTGATGAAATTCCATGTATGTATTATGTGGGCGTATCTGTGCGTCTCATATGTTGTTGTTTTTTAAATTATGGGCATCTGGTTTCAAGTTCGGTAAACTATCTGGTTATTTATTTTTGAATTCTTTTCTTGTAAACTTTCAATATTTACTAAGGAAACAAAGGAATTGGCAACATGTTGATAAAAAAAACAATTAGTTACCAAATATTTATCTAGATTTAAAGCTATAGTTTCTAATAGACATGAAACATAATCATTAAGATATCAAGTGACAAACTCCTTAAAAAAGTAACTATTGGAATGCACAATTATTCTTAGACTACAAGACGCATGCTTCATGTTTACATACACGACGAAGAAAAACGATGTTCACCCAGTATACTGTTGATGATCGACCATTTCTACCTTCATTAATCCATGTTATAAATTGATTGTCTGTGTCTCTGAGTAAATTGAAATCTGTAAAAGGAAAATTAACCGTAAATGGTTTGCAAGGACATAAAAGATCTTACAAAAACTTGATCCATTTGTTACTTAAAAATCAAGTCTTCTACGGCATAATCAGCTTACAAATGTTCCTCCAGCAGAAGTGATTGATTTTACTAATCATTACCCTACATACATAGCTATGCTTTGCATATTAGCGAATGTAATGATTAGAAATTATATCGTCAGATCTTGGTGACTGACTGACTGGTTTCAACGTAGAACTTTGCACAGATGTGCAGCAGTTCGAGTCGCCACACTCCACTTAGCACACAAAGCAAGAGAAGAAAGTAAAAAGAAATGCAAAACGGAGGCAGTAAACAGAGATATGAGGCAAAAAGAATAGTAATATGGAAGAACAACAGAATTTTATTGGATATGACTGGTAAATCACAAAGAGTGGATGCATCTGCACCACTGGGAACGATTTTGAGCCATATCACCAATTGGCTCCAGCCCTCATTGGTTTTTACCGTCCCGAGGACCCCAACCAGGAAGCTGACCTACACCTCCGTACGTGGCTGGCTTAAACTAACTGTTGTGGATTTCATTGACTGATGAAGCCATGTGTTTGGTTTGAGCACCACTGTCTCTTTTCCAACCTGGTCCTATGTCAGCTAACACTGCCCGTCGATCGAGGAAGACGATAGATGGCTAGGCATGCGTAACACATGTCCTAACCATCTCAATCGATGTAACTTCACAACCTTGTCGGCTGATTTCCCCTCCTTACTAACTTCTCAATGGATTACATTTTGTACAAGACATGTGCTGACAGTTTTTTTCATTATGTGTAAGCAGATGAACCATGCAAACGTTGTGGTCCATTCAGACACTAACTTTTATAACGAAATAGAAAGCTTAGATCTAAGTGTTATATAGAAGAGTGGTAGATCAATCAGAGATTTACTCAATAAGTAAGCCTTTGAAATTGTTTATGTATTCAAACGCACGTGTAGTACATTGTGAACCCGATAAAATGCATCACACAAATTAGCAAAGGGAATAATATATAGAGAATAACAGACTAACTAGGCAGGCACTCCCATTGGACATACTCGTAAGGGTGTTTGTCATTCTATTACATTGATTAGTAAGCATAATAAATAAGTTTTAGCATGTTTGCCAGTGATTTTCATTGTAAACCACTTTTGATATTGTCCTGACCTATTGATTGGGATTATCTTCTGGACCACGGTCATAGAGCTGTGATCTATCAACGTATACTAATTTAACACAACTACTGTTTATTCCATGACGCCACTGTATAAGTTGAGTACATCCGATTTTACCAACTAGTCCCGAGGCTAGCGAACAAGGAACAGAATGAGACATGCAGGGAAGACATCCGTATTGCCTATTCAATCCACTGAAACCTGTATAGTAGGATGATACCGCTTATTAACAGATATCAAATTTGTCCAGACAAACACCATCAGACCTTAAGTGTATTCACATGGTGTTGCTACTGGATGCAAGTAGTCATACAGAGACATAGACGTTTTCAGCTGAAATAGGTTAGGTTTCACTGGCGTAAAGCAATGCTACTACTCTGGCTTTTGGTGTGTGTGTGTGTGTTGGAAAATGTTATCTGAAACATTCTCACCTACACTGATACAGCAACCTTAGTCTAAAGATTCCTGTGATGCTTCTACCAGATGACTTGGTAGTGTGAGTGTGGCAAAGATTTCTGCCAATCTGGAGCAAGTACTTTGAACTTTAACATGTGACGTTTACATTGATTGCCAACCGGTCAAGTGCGACTTGGACAGTTCGTACATTATCACTACATTTTATGAGTACTCAGGAGTTTTACCTGAAACACTCCATTCAACATTTCGACTACAAAATGTAGTGTAGTAAAAGGTCTATGGAATGTTAAAAATTGATAACTTGTAACTTGTCGTTTGTGTTACCTTCCGCACCATAATCCTCTGTTCCTGGCTATTTTCCTCCATATACCTTGCCTTTTTAATTAATCTCTTGTCTTCATGCTGTTTCTAGAATGACTATCCTCCAATCAATACCGTATTATATCGAGTTTTATGTTAATGTCAGTAAAAAGTTTGAGCATTGTGGGAATAGATCAAATAAATTATAGAAAATATATTTCAATAGTTTACACACAATGATAATTCAAAACAAAACAATTCCAACAGTTGGTGTGATCACGGGCAGTAATTTTGCTCAAAATATTACCAAAAACGAAAACTTATTATTGTGTGTGTAAACTATTGAAATATAATCATAATTTATTTGAGTTTTATGTTATTTTGAACTACAATTTTCATGAAACCCTTGAGCTGTAATCTACAAATGTTTGTCATGCGATTCGCTCCCGCCAAATGCAAGATGATGTTACAGGATTGGATTACACCGACTCCTAGATTAGAAATAGGAAGTGAAGTGATAGAGAACGTTGATCGCTTCACTTACTTGGGAAGTACCATCAGCCCCAACGGGTTGATCTCCGACGAAATCTCAGCACGAATACAGAGGGCTAGTTTCGCATATGCCAGTTTACGCCGTCTCTGGCGTAGACGCGATATCCGACTATCGACCAAATCGCGGGTGTACTGTACATCAGTCCGCTCCGTCCTCCTTTATGGCTGTGAGACCTGGCCATTGAGAGCGGAAGACATGAAAAGATTAGCTGTCTTCGATCATAGGCATCTGCGTTCTATCTCCCATGTGAAGTGGTATAATAAGGTGAGCAATATTGAGGTTAGGCGTCGAGTGCTAGGTAAGGCGGGGAAATCAGTCGACGAGACTGTGAAATTGCATCGACTTATATGGTTAGGACATGTGCTACGTATGCCTAGTCATCGCCTTCCTCGACGGGCAATGTTAGCTGATATATGGTCAGGCTGGAAAAGAGCTAGCGGCGGTCAAACCAAAACATGGCACCAGTCAATGAAATCTACAACAGTTAGTCTAAGCCACGTAGGAAGGTGTAGACTTCCTGGTTGGGGTCCTTGGGACGGTAAAAACCAATGGTTGGAAACAATTGGTGACATGGCTCAAAATCGTTCTCAGTGGCGCAGATGCATCCACTCCTTGTGACTTATGATTTCCAATGAAACTATATTGTTATTCGTTATTACTATTCCTCTGTTTACTGTCTCTAATATGCATTTCTTCTACTTTCTTCTCTTGCTTTGTGTGCTACATGGAGTGTGGCGACTTGAACTGCCGCACATATGTGCGAAGTTCTATGTCCAAAACAG